TATCTTCAAAGTGTCACAAATTGTATCATGCACTACGTTTGTGTCTACACAATTTCCAAGTACATGCAGAAAAATTGTGGGACCGTCAGTTCCAATCAACTCAAATTCTAGTCTGTTTAGAAAACTTTCATTCTACCTAATTCACATAATTTTGCCCAAATGTTACTCTCAAATCTGCTAAATTAGAGAATACGTAATTAGAAGAATGAAATTAGAGGATTATAATATTTTCAGTCTGATGTAATACAAAAAAGGAAGTTCTTTAAAAATCTCTTTCTAAGGTAAAATTTCTCAAATATGTACATGTCTATCAATATTCAATTAAGTGAATGAAGCATCCGGTAATAAAGTTTGTTTGCTGATAATGAAATTATAGGTTTTGCAAAACACATTACTTCTTTGATCCACTTTTTCAATTGGCAATTAAAATAAACTAACTTCAAATAGAGGAAGAATTAAAAGATGTTTTATTCAAATTTGCTAAAAGTTATTTTATTCTAACCCTCACTAGCAGACTCATGTATGTTATTTGTGTTTGAATATAAATAATCAGTAATGCGTTGCCTTAATTCATTTAGCACAGCATGTCTGTATGATTTTTCTGAATGCTGGAAAGGCAATCAAATTTATCCTTCCAACATGATTTATTAAATGACTTTCTATTCGTATTTATCAAGGGAAATTCTGATAATTGAATGGAATTATATATCCGTGCTACTTTCTACATGCCGGTTTCTACACGTAATGATAGTAGCAATCACTTTGTTGTTGATTGCATTATTTAACGTCTAGTTGCCAACAAATAAGTGAAAGCAGACGTATTAAAATAACGAAGTTTCAGATGTCAAGAAATCTTTGAACCGGGTATTTTAAATATTTTTGGAATTAATAGAATTAATTGGTGAATGGAAAATAAGTTTATTTCCATTATAAAGATTTTTTGGTGTGATAAATTTGTTCCTAGACACCTCTTATGTTACATTACTTGAATTAGTCGTGATTTCAGTATTTGGACCAGGTAGCAGAAATTTCGTAAATGCGAAGCCAGTTTGCCTACTGGCCTGAATCATGGGGCGACCGCTTCCGTCTGGCTACGGTCAAAGGCGCCGGGTGGCCAGCGGCAGCCAACGCGGCCACCGCCGGTGCTCCGAAAGCAGCGCTGCGGCGGGCGGGTCCCACCCCCGCAGCCCCACTCCGCTCCACCGTTCGTTGCCAGCGGCCCTCCGAAAGATGAAGAAACGAAGGATGGCCTCTAGAAGAAATCGGAATTTCATTGGCTAGGACACATGAGTGTTCGCGGACAGTACAAATCGAGCGGCCCCGGCGCTCAAAACGTACTGTCTTCTTCTCCAGACTGCACGGACTGGTGACCTTGCGGACGCGCATGAGCTGGTGGTGGAGAGGAGGGCGTCGGCGGACGCTCGTTCTCGGCGACGAGCGCCGCAGCGCCGCGCGCGGGGCTCCCTGGCGCGACCGGTCCGCCACGGCTCCATCTCGCCTCGAGGTCGCGACGGCGCGCGCGCGACTTGCGGGCGCGGTCGGCGGCGGCCGCCGCGAGTCGTGCCCAAGCTCCGCTCGATCTCCGCCAGGCGCGCCTTGGCCTTCTTGCGCGCGGCGCGCCGCCGCGGCCCGAGTCACTCGGTCTCCTGGCCCACGCCGGTCGCGGTCCGACAGCTTCGTCACGTTGCGGTCGCCGGCCGCGGCTGCGAGGCGGACACCTGAGCGAGCGCTTTGGTGACGGAGCTGCTGCTGCTGGCCGAGAATCCTCGGCGGTGCGGCTGACGGCGCGCGCGCGATCGCGTATTCTTGACGGCCAGCGGTTCCGAGCACCTGCTGGCAGACGCAACAGGCCGTGAAGCCGCGTGGACGGCGTCGTGCAGGTTAGTGTGGCAATGGCGTCATGCGATGCTCCCTTCGGCGACGGACGTCCCTCGGGCGGGGCGCGGGCGGGACAGGGCGGGC